CCAGACGGACCTTTGTTGGCAAAATAATGTCTGTGTTTTTTAATATGCTGTCTAGGTTGGTCATAACTTTGCTTCCAAGGAGTAAGCATCTTTTAATTTCATGGTTGCAGTCACCATCTGCAGTGATTTTGGAGCCCAAAAAACTAAAGTCTGAGAAATCGAATAAATGTATACCCATGGCTAATTCATGTTGAGGTTTGACAGTAAGCAATAAAGTTCTGTAAACCAGTTCTCTTTCAATTAAATCTAAAAAAAAATTAAAAAGTTAAAAATATTTTGTTTGACAAATTTCCTTTTTCAAATGCACTCTAAGCTCTTTACTTCCTTGCCCACAGAAATACTAATTGGTTTTTTGACAGATATTGAATGAACATCTATCAGGAATCATGGAAGACTACAACCTAAACTATAATACTGGAAATAACAGTGTGATAAACTGCTATGACATTGAAAATAAAAGCGACTGATTGTAAATCATAAACTGATCTGTTAATTAATGTGACATGAAAAGTATTAAGTCACATTTCAAGTAGTTAGAAACATTATATCACATTTATAGAAAATGGCATTTTTAAAAAGTTTGGGCTGTGAGCAATAACCAAAATATGTTCCTGAAGTATATTTGAGTGGGGACAAATTCCAACTAGGGAATATTGATACTGATTTTCGTGATTAAACTATCAGTAGCTCAAATCTCACTATGCCCTGCTGAACCTCTAGTTCTGAATATGACTTTGGTTACTAAGACCTTGGAGAACATTCTCTAGGGAGTTGGCACTAAGGTGTACCTATCCTTGCAGACTACAGTGGAAATCATGGGGGAATTTCTGTCTAACAGATGTTGAATCCTAACAGTATACACAGGGAGTATTTGCCTCAAGATACTTTTTGAGAAGTTCTATGACATTTCAGGCAATTATGTATGAAAATTTCACTTCTATAAAATGAGAGATAGAGAAATTCCCCCTCATTTTGAAATTCCCTCAAATTGAAAATCCTTCTCAGGTACCTTGGCTACATTTCACTACTCATAAACTAAAGGGTTTGGTGGAAATCACCTGGGGGCCCTGGGTTCCTGCAAGGCTTTGCTCTCAGAATTCTAGGAAAGATGGCCTGAGTCCTTAGCTTTGGTTTGTTTCTTACTCCCCTCTGTAACCTGAGGACAGAGGTTTTCACGAAATGATTTGCACTGTGACCGCGTCTCTGCAGGTGGGGGGCTCTGCTATTTCAAGACCAGGAGCCTGCAGGTGTTGCCATCACAGCTTTCTCTGAGAATAAACCAGCGGCATCAGTGGACTTTGGGTTAACAGTGTGTATGTGCAGGGACAGATGCATTTGAAAATGATGCCCTAAAATCTATCCAGTGACCAACCAAGGAAATAATGATCAGCGTTAAGTCAGAAGTGAACTTACCCATAGATTAACACATGAAACAGATCCTCTGGTGGCTCAGACAGGAGAGTCTGCCTCTATGTGGGAGACCCCAGTTTGATCCCTGGGTCAGGAAGATCCCCTGGAGAAGAAAATGGCAACCCTCTCCAGGATTCTCGCCTGGAAAATTCTATGGACAGAGGAGCCTGGTGGGCTACAGTCCATGGAGCCCCAAGGAATCAGACATGGACTGAGTGACTTCACCTTCACTTTCAACACAGAAAAATGTTGCTTCTCTACTTCATGTTTGTATTTCTAGGCTTTACGAATCATCTGCTACAGTTTGTCCTCTGCTCTTTATGGAGAGTTCTATTTTTCATATCTTTAAGGGATAATTGACTAAGGAAAAATTAAAGATAGCATATCCGTTTGTCTAGTGGTATATATTCTAAAAAACAGTCACTGTGCATGCACCAGTACCACTATCTTAGATGATTTAGTTTCACTGCAGAATTGAGAGTCAGGTACAGAGCTTTCCCATATACCTTTTGTTCCCTCACGAGGACAATCTCCCTACTTATGTCCCCAGCAGTGTGTAAATTTGTTACCACTGATGAATATACATAGACATTAAATAAAGTTTCCAGTTTCACCCTATGTTTCTCTTCTGGGGTGTTCACTCTAAGGATCTGGACAAGTGTTTAATAACTTGTGCCATTAAAACAGTTTCACACAATGATTTCGTGGTCCTGAACTCAGGATATTCATAGCCCCTCCTTTGCAGCCCATTGCAAGCACTGACCATTTTAATCTCGTCTACATTTCCGACTAGATTCTCAGGTGGCTTCGTGGTAAAGAATCCACCTGCCAATGCAGGTGACCCGAGTGATGTGGGTTCAATCCTTGAGTAAGGAAGATACTTTGAAAGAAGAAATGGCCACCCTCTCCAGTGTCCTTTCCTTGGAAATCTCAGGGACACAGGTACCTGGCAGGTACAATCCATTGGGTCCCAAAGACTCAGACACAATGCAGCACAAAAGAACATTCACCTACATCAAAATGCCATGTTGTAAAAATCTTCGTTTTTGTAGCATTGTCAGATGGGCTTCTTTCACTTAGTAAAATGCAGGCAATGATCATCCATGTGTTTTATACCTTGAAAGCTTAATATAAGAATGTTTAAAATTGATGTCTGTACCACTGGTCTTGCACATTAAATAATATCATCAATAACATTTTCTAGATTTCATATGTATATATGTTAAAACTTATTTTCACAAATATAGAGAATAGACGTGTGGACGCAGCGAGAGAATGAGAGGGGGCCCAATTGAGAGAAGAGCCTTGACATATATTCACCGTAATGTGTAAAATAGGTAGCAAGTGGGAAGCTGCTCCATAGCATAGAGAACTCAGCATGGGGCTCTGTGATGGCTAGAGGGGTGAGACGGAGATTGTGGGAGGGAGGTTCAAGAGAGACTGGGTATACATATACCTATGGCTGATTGATCAAGTTGTATAGCAGAATCTAACACATTATAAAGCATTTATATTCCAAATATAAATATTATATATATATATATATATACACACACATACATGTATATATATATATACATCTCAAAAGAAAAAGAAAAAACAGATTGATAAACCAGTTCTTAGGAACCCACTAGACAGTGCAGGGCCCTCGGGCCTCAGGCCTGCTCCAGGAATACGCCACTTGCTCTGGGGAGACTAAGCCTGTGCGCCTCAGCTGCTGAGGCTGGGACGGGGAGCAACTTGGTCCTTTAGATGGGCAGGGGGCAAAAGAGAGATGCTCAGCATTGCTAAATCATAAGAAATTATTTTTTAGTGATTATTTTTTTAGACAGTGATATTAATATTAATAATAATAATAAATTATTATTTAGACAGTGATACATCACCTCCTGATAGTCAGAATAACAACTAGCAAAAAACCCACTAACAATATCATAAACGCTGAAGAGGGTTAGAGATCAGGGAACCTCCTGAATGGCTGGAGGGAATATAAGCTGGTGTAGTCACTTTGGGAAGACAGTGTCGAAGTGCCTTAAAAAACATAACCTCCTGACATTAAAGGAAACGAATTGCCAGAATAGTAGACAAAATAGATTAATTGACAAATTTATAAGATTTGCAGTTTTTAGTAAATCATCTACAATTCTGAAATGACCAATTGTGAGATAGCATTTTTAAATTCTTTAAGTAAATGTGTACGAATACTCACACACTCACATGTTCCTTTTGTTTCACTGCCTGTATATCTTCAGGTATATTTTTATTGTATTCAATGTGTGTTACATAAATTATATAACACGTATTCTTTCAGATATTTATATATTGCATTCAATGTATGTCAAAGTCATCAGAAACATGACTTTGGCCAAACATTGAAAAGCTGATAGTTTCATTGAGTTAGACAAGGCTGTGGTCCATGTGATCCGATTGGCTAGTTTTCTGTGACTGTGGTTTTCATTCCGTCTGTCCTCTGATAGAGAAGGGATAGAGGCTTATGGAAGCTTCCTGATGGAGAAGCATATCTGAGCTTCTTGGTATTTCTCCCAGCAATCTTGATTCCAGCTTGTGCTTCACCCAGCCCAGCATTTCACATGACCTTCCATGCATTTCAGTCAAATAAGCAATGTGAGAACACACAGACTTGATGTACTCCGTTCCCAATTTGGAACCGGTCGGTTGTTCCATGTCCAGCTCTAACTGTTGCTTCTTGACCTGCATACAGATTTCTCAGGAGGCAGGTCAGGTGGTCTGGTATTCCCATCTCTTGAAGAATTTTCCAGTTTCTCGTGATCCACACAAAGGCTTTAGCATAATTAATGGAACAGAAATAGAAGTTTTCCTGGAATGGTCTTTCTTTTTCTATGATCCAAGTGATGTTGGCAATTTGAGCTCTGGTTTCTCTACCTTTTCTAAATCCAGCTTGAATATCTGGAATTGCTTGGTTCACATACTATTGAAGCCTGGCTTGGAGAATTTTGAGCATGACTTTCCTACCATGTGAGATGAGTCCAAAAACTTACCTCAGTTTGAGCAATCTTTGGCATTGCCTTTCTTTGGGATTCAAAAGAAAACTGAAATTTTCCACTCCTGCGGCCAAGGCTGAGTTTCCCAAGTTTCCTGCCATATTGAGTGACTTCATGATGATTTAAATTTTTTTCTTCCTTGATGTAATCTGCCACTTCTAGTTTAGTGCTAATTCTATAAATTCTGTGATATAAAATGGTGTCACCCTCCTCTTTAAATCAAATTTACACTACTTACTTTTGCCTTGTAGTATGTGACCAGAATGTCAGGATCTGATTTTTTTGTATTAGTTAGTGTTGTGTAGGTGCTTTCAATAAAGTATTTGGGGAAATCTTTTTCTAGGCTGTCTTAGCATTCTATCATGCGTTCTCTTCTCACCTGGATACATATTAGATTGGAAATTGATGAATCTCTAGCAAAAGAAATATTCCATTCTCTGATGAACACATCTTGTGGTCTCTAAGGAGGACCTGGTCACTTGTCTGGAGCAAATGAAGGATCCTAGGAGTATAAGGAGAATGGAGACAAGGGCCATGTACCCAGGTACGTGTCAATGTATGGAGCCGATGACTCAGGTGAGAGGTCCAAGCATCAGCGAGGAAGTCATTCTTCGTCCTGTGTTTTCGGAAGATCTGCTTCATTGGAAACGATTTTGGAGAAGTCTGGATTTATTTCTGTTTCTGTCATAGACGGCTATCACCTGCTGCCTTCTTCCTGTTAAACCATGACGAAATCTTGTCTGGTGATTACCTTGCTCTTTCACAGTGAGAACTAAAATGCTCTTCTTGGCTTGTGACAACCTGCATGAATCTGGTTGCCATTTCATTTCTTGAGAGTACTAATAAAACTGTGCACATTTCTGAGCAAATATGGTGTCCCATTTGTCTAACATCAGGTCTTTCTATAAAGATAATCCTATTGGAAAGAAGACTTATAATTGTGGTGAATATGGTAAAGTTATATCTACTACTGTGTGCAGGAATCCCTTAGAAGAAATGGAGTAGCCATCATGGTCAACAAGAGTCTGAAATGCAGTACTTGGATGCAATCTCAAAAACGACAGAATGATCTCTGTTCGTTTCCAAGGCAAACCACTCAATATCACAGTAATCCAAGTCTGTGCTCCAACTAGTAATGCTGAAGAAGCTGAAGTTGAATGTTTCTATGAAGACCTGCAAGGCCTTTTAGAACTAACACCCAAGAAAGATGTCCTTTTCATTATAGGGGACTGGAATGCAAAAGAAGGAAATCAAGAAACACCTGGAGTAACAGGCAAATTTGGCCTTGGGGTATGGAATGAAACATGGCAAAGGCTAGTAGAGTTTTGCCAAGAGAATGCAGTGGTTATAGCAAACACCCTCTTCCAACAACACAAGAGAAGATTCTACACATGGACATCATCAGATGGTCAACACTGAAATCAGATTGATTATATTCTTTGCAGTCAAAGATGGAGAAGCTCTATACAGTCAGCAAAAACAAGGCCAGGAGCTGGCTGTGGCTCAGATCATGAACTCCTTATTGCCAAATTCAGACTTAAATTGAAGCAAGTACGGAAAACCAGTAGACCATTCAGGTATGAGCTAAATCAAATCCCTTATGGTTATACAGTGGATGTGAGAAATAGATCTAAGGGACTAGATCTGATAGACAGAGTGCCTGATGAACTATGGATGGAGGTTGGTGACATTGTACAGGAGACAGGGATCAAGACCATCCCCATGGAAAAGAAATGGAAAAAAGCAAAATGGCTGTCTGAGGAGGTCTTACAAATAGTTGTGAAAAGAAGAGAAGCGAAAAGCAAAGGAGAAAAGAAAAGATATAAGCATCTGGATGCAGTATTCCAAAGAAGAGCAAGGAGAGATAAGAAAGCCTTCTTCAGCAATCAATGCAAAGAAATAGAGGAAGACAACAGAATGGGAAAGACTAGAGATCTCTTCCATAAAATGAGAGATACCAAGGGAACATTCCATGCAAAGATGGACTCGATAAAGGACAGAAATGTTATGGACCTAACAGAAGCAGAAGATATGAAGAAGAGGTGGCAAGAATACACAGGAGAACTGTACAAAAAAGATCTTCACGACTCAGATAATCACGATGGTGTGATCACTCACCTAGAGCCAGATATACTGGAATGTGAAGTCAAGTGGGCCTTAGAAAGCATCACTACGAACAAAGCTAGTGGTGCTGATTGCAATCCAATTGAGCTATTTCAAATCCTGAAAGATGATGCCGTGAAAGTGCTGCACTCAGTATGCCAGCAAATTTGGAAAACTCAGCAGTGACCACAGGACTGGAAAGGTCAGTTTTCATTCCAATTCCAAAGAAAGGCAATGCCAAAGAAGGTTCAAACTACTTCACAACTGCACTCACCTCATATGGCAGCAAAGTAATGCTCAAAATTCTCCAAGCCAGGCTTCAGCAATACATGAACGGTGAACTTCCAGATGTTCAAGCTGCTTTTAGAAGAGGCAGAAGAACCAGAGATCAAATTGTTAAACCCACTGGATGATTGCAAAAGCAAGAGAGGTTCCAGAAAAACATGTATTTTTGCTTTATTGACTATGCCAAGTCCCTTGACTGTGTGGATCACAATAAACTGTAGATAATTTTGAAAGAGATCAGAATACCAGACCACCTGACATGCCTCTTGAGAAACCTATATGCAGTTCTGGAAGCAACACTTAGGGCTGGACATGGAAGAATAGACTCCTTCCATATGGGAAAGGAGTACATCAAGGCTGTATATTGTCACCCTGCTTATTTAAATTATATGAAGAGTACATCATGAGAAATGTTGGACAGGAGGAAGCACAAACTGGGATCAAGATTGCCAGGAGAAATATCAATAACCTCAGATATGTAAATGACACCACCCTTATGGCAGCAAGTGAAGAGGAATTAAAAAGCCTCTTAATGAAATTGAAAAAGTTGGCTTAAAGCTCACCATTCAGAAAACTAAGATCATGGAATCTGGTCCCATCAGCTCATGGGAAATAGATGGGGAAACAGTGGAAATAGTATCAGACTTTATTTTTTGGGCTCCAAAATCACTGCAGATGGTGGTTGCAGCCATGAAAGTAAAAGACACTCTTTGGAAGGAAAGTTATGACCAACTTAGATACCATATTATAAAGCAGAGACATTACTTTGTCAATAAAGGTCCATCTCATCAACGCTATAGTTTTTCCAGTGGTCATGTATGGCTGTGAGAGTTGGACTGTGAACAAAGCTGAGTTCCCAAAAATTGATGGTTTTGAACTGTGGTGTTGGAGGAGACTCTTGAGAGTCCCTTGGATTGCACGGAGATCCAACCAGTCCATCCTGAAGATCAGTCCTGGGTGTTCATTGGAAGAACTGATGCTGAAGCTGGAACTCCAATACTTTGGCCACCTCATGCGAAGAATTGATTCTATGGAAAAGGCCCTGATGCTGGGAGGGATTGGGGTCAGGAGGAGAAGGGGACGACAGAGGATGAGATGGCTCGATGGCATCACTAACTCGATGGGCCTGAGTTTGAGTAAACTCCAGGGCTTTGTATTGGACAGAGAGATCTGGTGTGCTGCGATTCATGGGGTCGCAAAGAGTCGGACACGACTGAGCGACTGAACTGAATTGACGAACATATTCTATGATCTCAATCCTTGCATCTCCTCATGGCTAGAGGAGCACTAAATCTTTTCATGGTTATATCAGACCCTCATGATTAGCAAGAAACCTTTTGGAAAATGAGTGCTTAATGGCACTGAACTCCCCTTTCACCAAAACCTTATACATTGACCTTCCCCCACTGCCACTCTGGAGCAGTCCCTCAGAGCTCTCTGAAGTTCTGCCTCCCGGGCGGTAGTCCTCATTTTGCCCCAATTCAGTCCAGTCACTCAGTCGTGTCCCACTCTTTGTGACCCATGGACTGCAGCACGCCAGGCTTCCCTGTCCATCACCAACTCCCAGAGCTTCCTCAAGCTCATGTCCATCGACTTGGTGATGCCATCCAACCATCTCATCCTGCCTTCAATCTTTTCCAGCATCATGGTCTTTTCCAATGAGTCATTTCTTTGCATCAGGTGGCCGAAGTATTGGAGTTTCAGCTTCAGCAAGAAGAAAGTGAAAAAGAACTATAGAGCCTCTTGATGAAACTGTAAGAGAAGAGTGAAAAAGTTGCCTTAAAACTCAACATTCAGAAACCTAAAGTCATGGCATCCAGTCCCATCACTTCATGGCAAATAGATGGGGAAACAATGGAAACATTTTGCCCCAAATAAAACTTAACTTGCAAATCTCAAGTTGAACATCTTTTTAATCAATACTAGCATCAGACTGTTTTCCAGTGAGTTGGCTCACTGTCAGATGGCCAATTTTGGAGCTTCAGCCTCAGGATGAGTCCCTCCAATGAATATTCAGAGATGATTTTCTTTAGGATTGACTGGTTTACTCTCCATGTAGTCCAAGGGACTCTCAGAAGTCTTCTCCAGCACCACAATTAGAAATCAGCAATTCTTTGGTGCTCAGCTTTATTTATAGTCTAACTATTTCATCCATACATGACCAGGAGAAAAACCATAGTTTCTGGCAAAGTGATGTCTCTGCTTTTTAATATGTTGTCTAGGTTTTTCATAGCTTTTCATAGGTTTCTCACAGCTTATTTTGGAGTCCTATGAAAGTAATACCTTCACTGTTTTCACTTTCCCCCCATCTATTTGCCATGATGTGATGAGACTGGAGGTCACGATCTTACTTTTTCTGAATGCTGAGTTTTAAACCAAATTTTCACTTTCTTCTTGCACCCCTATCAAGAGCTTCTTTAGTTCCTCTTTGCTTTCTGCCATTCAAGCGGTATCATCTGCATATCTGAGATTGTTGATGTTTGTCAAGGAAATCTTGACTCTACCACTAAAGAAAGTGAAAGTTGGTTGCACAGTCTTGTCCCACTCTTTGCAACCCCATGGACTGTAGCCCACTAGGCTCCCCTGTCCATGGGATTCTCCAGGCAAGAATACTGGAGCGGGTTGGCATTACCTTCTCCAAGGGATCTTCCTGACCCAGGAATTGAACCCCAGCCCTCTGGATTGCAGGCAGATTCTTTACCAAGTGGCCACTAGGAAAGCCCTACTACTAAAAAGCCTTTTGTAAATGCAAGTCTCTGGGCCCAGGTGAATCAAAGCCAGCTATTCAGAAGCCGTGGGCTATTTCTGCTCCCTAAGTGCTGGTGGGGTGGGGTGGGGGGCGAGGGGACATGGGAGAGGATCCCAGCTGCCTCATCTACCATCTCTTATAGTAAACAAGGAATTAGGATGTGAACAATGGAGGAAGCAGGATTACTTCCGGATAGCTAGATACATATGAAAGAAATTATTTCAATAAGCCTGGACACTTGCATCTTACCATACAGAGAAGATCACTAAATCTCTTCATGTCAGGGATATTTTTTAAATTATTGTAACCTTTAATAATAGATTACCTGCCCCTTGCTGCAAACTTGTATACAGTCAGCCTCCTGCCCTGCCTCCTCAGAGTCAGCTGTCCCAAGATCATTTAACATAGTGTCTCCTGTGGTCAAAAGAGTGCCTGCACTCCGTAAAGTAGAAAGAAAGGAGAAGAACTAGCAGGGGTGATCTGCATAGAGAATGCAGGAAAGGTAAGCACTAAACAAAGGATGTGATTAGCATATCAGGTTAGTCTGGATTATCAGCTGCAGACCAGGAAGGAGAAAGTAAAAAAGGAGCTCTGAAAACGGCAAAGGGAAACAAGAAAACTATTTCTTCTCAATCATTGCAGCAGCTGCAGATTCAAGAGTTGTGTGGATGCCTTTAAAGTTATTTACTTAACACCCAGATGTGAGTTTGTGATCAAACTCCCCAGAGGAGACGCAGAGCAGGAGGAAGAGAGGAGGAAATGGCAGCTTCTCAGGTAAATGTCCTGTCCCGGGTCTGGGGCTGTGTCTGCTTTTCCTCCTGAAATGCCTGGTCTGAACATCTGCAAACCTTCAATTCTCTGCTTCTAATTTTTCCACCTAGGGTGTTTGTTGCCAACTGCTTACTTTTTCCAGTTTTTCTTGTATTAGAGGAGACTGGCTCTTTAGACTGTTTCTTCCTTGTGTCCCAGAGCCTGTTATCCAATGTCTGTATCCTGACTTTCTATAGAGCATGATGAATTCTCAACACTGTTCCGTCAGTTTCAATGTTGAGCATATTCCCTTTGTGAAAGACAGACGGGGAGGCGCTGGTGTAAGCGATTCCCAATGGAATGCTGTTCTGTGTTGGGATCCCATCGAAGTAGGGGAAATGCCATGATGAGTTTATATCTGGATGCAACTTCAGGTCTTTAGAACAGGTGCAAAAGGCAATACCCGTGGAAATAGAATGGACTCAGCTATACAGATTTTTTTCAAAAATAAAAAAATGTAGTTGAGACTATCCTGTTCCTCTGTATTGATAAGAAACACTTACTAATTAAATGTGGTATTAGGCTACATGACATGGGAGGTATATATGAAGTGAAGTTTGCTTAAAACTAACATTTTTTAATGAAAGATTCAGATCATGGTTTCCATAATACTGCCAAAATATCCATGCAGTGGTAATGCATTCTTCCATGTACTTCTAACCCCATGTCTCTCATGGTCACTGGTTTTGGTACTTTTGTTAGATTCCCATGCTACACAGCTCATGTATTTTCCTTTTGTCTTCAGCAAGTGTCTTGGGGGAAAAAAGTGAGCCATGTGCCTAAACTATCGCAGTTAATGTGGGAATCCCATATGCTCTTAAGTTTCTCTTTGCTTTGGAAGATGACTGTGTTTAGTAGACATGCTGGGTTTAGGGGATTTTTGTCAGTCAAGCCCAGGTCTGATCATTTCCAGGTACACTCCACACTCACATCACAGAGTGTCATCACATTTTTGTATTTTCCAAAATGTTTATAAGAATCTTATTAGTGTTAATCTATGTTCAACTGTATTAAAATTGAACTATAGCTCTTTGGAAATGATATAGATTTTCAGGAAATTGAAAAATTCAGAACCAGAGCTTTACTTTATGTTACATCATTCTGTACGTCTGTATTCTAGTTTATTTAAAGAAATAAAAATAATATCATCCCCATATATGTGTGTACATTTTTAATAAATTAAAAAAATTTATTTTATTGACATGACAACTTTTCCCTATTATCTATTAATAAGTATATAGTCCCATTTTAGTATATGTCAACAAACCTGTTAACATGATTTGATCGCTGTTCTTGATCTATTTTTTTAAGATTTCCTGAAGAAGGGAATAGGTACCCACTCTAGTATTCTTGCCTGGAGAATCCTATGGACAGAGGAGCTATTAGTTTTGTTGCACATTCAAGATTCTGTAAAAACTGTCAGAAAGATATACAGTATATAGTAAATAGTTAAAATGATTCTTGCTGCAAGGTTACTATCCTATAAGACCTGTAAAGTCTGTAAAAGAATTAAAGTTCAGACTGAAGTATGATTTCTTCCCTACTGTTCTCCTTCATTGCTATTCAGAATCATCATTTGTGGAGCAGAATTTGCAACATCACGAGTTCAAATAAGCTTGGTAAAAAGGTGGCACATTTTCTCCACTCCAGAACTCTTGAATCAGAGTCTGCTTGTTAAAAATGTTTAGTGTTTTTTGGTAGACAGTTTCTCCTGTGTCACACGAGTACAACACTCAAAATATGTATGCCAGTGTTGATCTGATTACATTATAATTTGTCTTCCACATCAGAATAGTTTCTTGTGAATCATATCCTCTTGTCTTGGGGTTAAAAATGTGGTTGAAAATGTTACTGTGTGATACCAGAAACTACACTAAATCAAAATGAGTTCTCTGAAATTACTGCTTTCGTTTAGGGTCAGGTTAGGAAGTCTTCGTTTGGCCATAACACAGTCAGTCAGTGAGTCAGTTTAGTCATTCAGTCATCAGTCCTGTCTGACTCTTTGTGATCTCAGTTGTGTCTGACTCTTTGTGACCCCAAAGTACATGGCATCTATACTTTGTATTTCAGGGACGGCTGACGTTCCAGGATGTGGCCATAGACTTCACTCAAGAGGAGTGGGAATGTCTGGACCTCGGTCAGCGGGAATTGTACAGGGATGTGATGTTAGAGAATTACGGGAACCTGGCCTCCTTGGGTGAGGACAACTGCCTTCCAGAATCCCTTTTCCACCACTGGGTTTGGTTCCTGCATTTCTAGAATGTCTCCTGGAATTTTCTGCTTCCACCAATACCTTCAGATCCCTGCTTTCTAGCAGGAAATGGGTATTTGTGAGTTTAGAAAGAAAGCCTTCATGGTGATTAAGTATGATTCTAACCTTTTTCTTTCTTGATGTAATCTGCCTCCTTCACTCTAGTATGGTGGGGATTGAATCAGTTCCATGGTATTAAATAGTGACACCTTCCTCTTAAAACTCACATTTACACTACTTACTTTTGCCTTGTAGTACTTGACCAGAATTTCAGGATCTGAGTTTTATGTATTTGTTAGTACTGTAAGTGTGCTTTCAATAAAGTATTTGGGGAAATCATCCTCTAGGTTGTATTAAGATTCACCCGTGTGTTCTCTTCTCACCCAAATACATATTGGGTTGGAAATTTATGAATCTCTAGCAAAACAAACATTCCTTTCTCTGATGAACAGGTCTTGTGGTCTCTAAGCCGGACCTGGTCACCTTTCTGGAGCAAATGAAGAATCCCTGGGATGTAAGGAGAATGGACACAACAGCCACATACCCAGGTAGGTGTGAATGGATGGAGCTGATGACTCAGGTGAGAGGTCCAAGGAGCAGTGAGGAAGTCAGCCTTTGTCCTGTGGCTTGGGAAGACGTGCTCCAGTGGAAATGATTTTGGAGAACTCTGGGTTCATTTCTGTTGCTGTCATAGACGGACATTGCCTGGCTCCTTCGGCCTCTCAGTCATTCATGAATCAGCTCCATGCTTACTTTTCTCATCCACAGTGAGAATTCAAATTCTTTTCTTGCCTTGTGAGAACTTACATGAGTTGCCTGCTCTTTCATTTCTTGGGGCTCCTAGGAAAACTGCCCACTGATGAGTAAATATAAGATGCTCTTTTTAAAGTTTGTTTCTACCTCTAGAAAGAAGTGTGTGATTGGAATTGTAAACAAACTACCAATACTCTAGGAATATTGGAGATAGAATTTTTTTTCTGATTTACATTCTCTAAAACACTGGAAGCTACAACTATGACCTTATACATTTTAAACTCATTTCAATGTATAAAGCAAAAGCTCCATAAAATGAGAGAATGCATTTCTCTGAGTTACACCAATGTTTCACTTTTCTTTATGTGAACTCATTTTAAATATCTGAAGTGTATTTGCCACAATTCCTCAATAGTAAAATACTTTAATGTATTCAGTTAACTCAAAGATTTTTAAAATAAATTGGCAAAATAGTTTAGAACATTTTCCACCATATTTCTAATGGTTGTTTGAAACTATTAACATTTTAGATCATATAAAGAAGTCCTTTTAAGTCCTTTAAACCCTTACTGGATTTAAATCCTCATTGTTTTACAGTGTTGTGCTTTTGTACAGCAAGGAGAATAAAGGATACATATAAGTAGTCACTCTTTGTTATATTTCCTTCCCTTTGGGCCTCCACAGGGAACTGAGTAGAGTTCTCTGTGATCCCAACACATTTTTTATTTTATTTTATTTTTTAACAGGTCCATCCCCTCACATATTTATTTATTTTTTCTTTTAGTCAGAACACAAGTTCCAACATATTTTTTAAAATCTCACTTCTTGTTTAGTTGCTTAAGACTTTATTATCTTGTTTGTCATCAGCTGCCCCATACGTTACTAATTTATCTCATTTGTTATCAGTTTCCGATGGCCCTCAGTTTCTAATTAGTTGTTTCTCAATATCATTTATGATTTTTAGATACAAGCATCTAATAGAATGTGTTCCAATAGAACACAAGTGGTAAGAAGTGGGTTAAAGAATTTGAAGGCAGCTAATATTTCTGAAAATGTTTGATGTCTCCATTTAAGACGACTTAGGGCAAAAGGTAATCATTAGACTGCGTGTCTCCGCTGCATTTAGTGCTTCTTGTAGCTTATTATTTTCCCCTTCTTCTGCTCCATACTCGCTGTCCTCTGGTTTCATTACATTTTTCGTGTTTGTGGTCTCTGCCCTGAAGGCTGCAGGATCCCAGCTCCTCTTGTCTCTTGTGCCTGCCCCTTTGGGGCTCAGGTTGGTCCTGAGGTTTGTGCCCTGATCCCCTGGATGGGCACTTGATTGCTGTGACCCGAGCCTGCCCTGGATGTTGAGGGGAGCTTCCCCATCGCTCTGTGGCTGTCACCGCCCTGTCTGTGGTGGGTCTGCGCCCTGGTTGGTGGAACAAGCCCCCAGATCTGTTTCTTCGCTGTGACTCTGACCTGTGTGGAGGCAGGTGGGATTGGAGCACACCCCCGGGAGAGAAGCCCCTGAGGACTGCTGCTCTGGGGATGTTCCCCTTGGGGTGTGCTCTGTGCGTCACTTTCACCCACTGGGTGAGTCTCGTGTGACCCTGGTTGGCACTGATCTTGGCCCCACCTCAACCCTGGGTATGCCGGCACATGGCCCTGGGTTCTGTCCGATGTTGTTTTCTCCGGGTCACCAGCATAGATCCTTGAAGTCAGGGCCCAGGATTGCATTCATCATGGAGGTGGACCCTCTTTGGAGCTGTGGGGGCAGCTCAGACTCCGGCCTGGCCCCACCCCTAGTGTGGGAGCCCACAAAGTCTCCAGCTGCTACAGCTACACCTGCTGTGACTGGGGGAGCCCTCCTTGTTCACTCAGATGCTCTATAGGGGCTGAGTTTACAAAGACAGCTGTGATGGTATAGAGATGAGTTGGTGCAACTTCCAGTGGAGATATCAGCTCTCCTTCCTTAAGCTGCCAGACCCTGGGGCTCAGCAGTGCTTCAGCCCGCTCTGTGCATGTGGATAAACTACAGGCCTCTGCTCCCGAGGTTTCCCAGAGCCCACCAGTCTACCCTGGAAGTGAGGGGCGCAGAGGAAGAGGCAACAGCTGGGTTCATGAGAGCACCCACCCTAATGGAGCCCTTCCTCGTGCCTGGTGAGGAGGGGCCAGCACAGGGGGAGAGAGGCTACAAACAATGGCGGGTCTTCGCTTTGGGCATGACTCAGCAATGGCACTCTGCGCCATGGTGGTTCAGGCCTCCTCCCCAAGCATTCCTGTTTGCAGAGCTCCTCCCTCCCTGCCATTCCCACAGGACGTCTCCTCACAGCCCACAGCAGTACTCTGCCTGGGTCTGCTCTCCAGACCCTGCATTCCGGCACCCAGCCCTTGTCTGCAGTGGTGGACACCCTCTCAGGCTGGGTGGGCAGGGCTAGGGGCGGTACCCGTGTGCAGGTCTCCTCTGTCCTGCTGCCTCTGACTGCTGTCCTGTTCTCCTCCCACAGAGGACGAGGCTCGCCTTTTGTCCCAACTGGGCTCCCCCAGTGAGGTCCTTCCCCAGAGGTGGAGACCTCTCCTGTCTTCAGATATCCCCAGGGTTGCAGGCCCCTTCCCATTGCCTCTCCTGTTCTTTTTCTTTCTTCTTTCTTTGGCCCTACCTAGCTCAGCAGGAATCTTTCTTGTCCTTTTAGATTTCCAAGGTCCTCTGCTAGTGTTTAGCTGGACTCTAGGAGAAGTGTTCCATTTCTGATGTATGCTTGATGCATTTGTGGAGAGAGATGAAGTCCATGTCTGTCTAATCCTCTGGCATCTTGATCCTCCCTTCTCTATTTTATTTTTACACTCGTGAAGGGTTCATCAATTTTCTCTAAATTATTAAGGGTATTCACTGAGAATAGTAAATAAAAAGACTTATTATTTGGTATCTTTCAGCTATATCTCTTCAAGACACCCAGGATTTGATGCCAAAGAAACCAAGGGTAGAAGATTTTTTCCCAAAAGCAAACCTAGGAATATATGAAAGATTTCACCTCAGAAACATGCAATTAATGAAAGACTCAGAACATACAAGGGCGTGTGAAAGACAGAGAGAATGTTTACATGGACATAAAGAAATTGAGACAGTTACACATAATGCAGACATTACTGTAGAAAGAAATGAGCTACTTGAGTCAAATTGGGGGAAACATTCATTTCAGTCTTCAACATCTGCTGAGAAGTGTAAGTTTATCAGAAAAAATTTACATCGTTTTTTGAAACATAGTTGTTCTCTGAAAGGAAATACGGAAAATCAGGAAGGTCCTCCAGTCTCTACTGTAAATACTCATTCAAACCACTCTGAGCATAGGCTTCAATTCAACATATATTTAAACATGTCTGAAAACCAGAAATCTAAAAATGATGGGGCAAACTCACAATATAATCAATTTGAGGGATCTATGATTAGGAAGTCACTATTCTTCCATCAACAGATATTTTCTCTCCATTCCAAGATGAATAGTGTTGATGATAATGGAAGAGATGTAATCCAACCAGCATTATTCAATACATCCCATGATATGGTTAATAGGAAAGAACTTTCCATGTGTAATAAAATGAGTCAGACCTTAAGTAAGACCTCCAGCTCCAATAATTACACAATTATTTATGATGGAGTGAAGGTCTATTCATGCAATGAACCTGGGCATAACTTTGAACAAGACTCAAACTTCATGGAACATCAGGGAGCTCAATCTTCACGCAAGGATTCTATAAGTAATAAATGTAAGAATATCTTTTATGAAGCATCAGATCTTTCTCTACATAAGAGTATTCATAGTGGAGAGAAAACTTACTATTGTAGTGAATATGGTAAAGTTTCTAATCAGTCTTCAAATCTGATTAAACAGCAGAGAATTCAGAATCCACAGAAACATTACAAGTGTAATAAATGTGGGAAAGTCTTCAGTAACTCATCTAATATAAGTAAACATAGGAAAATACATTCAGGAAGGAAACCTTTCAAGTGTACAGTATGTGCCAAAGCCTTTAATCAGAGTTCAAATCTTAGTCAACATCGGCAAATCCATACTGGCAGGAAACCTTATAAATGTAAGGAATGTGGCAAAGTGTTTATCTATTTCTCAA